TTTGTTGCGGAGGAGCAGAAAAATCCTCCCAATTTGCTTGTATGAATTGGTGGCATGAAAAAAAAGTCAATAAAACTTCTTTGTGTGTTTCACCATTGAAATTAAATTGCAATTTGCCGCCTCTTTGCGAAAATCCCATCCTGTGGCTGAGTTATGACAATGGAAAGCCAATTTCCACGCACAACGAATCCAAACGCGAGACTAGAGGCGGAAAATGTGCCAAATAAATAAATTGTGTGTGTGTCGTTGAATTGTGGGGTGAGGGAGGAAGAGTAAAGGGCGGCTTTTGCCTATTTGCAACCGTGTTGCTGATTTCGATTTACCGCCACAATTTTCCAGTCCGAACCAGAGAGTTTGTGTGACAATTTTCACCTCTTCATTCGCCAGCAATAAATTTGACTCGCCTGCAGACTTTCCTCGAGCTCTTAAGACAGTTTAATTGAATTTTCTGCACTACAATCACTTCACTGTGCAGAAATCACTTAATTAAACTACATTGTTTTACTATCCAAAATTAATTTTCCTTCTTTTCAAAAGCATCCTTCGTCCTTTTTGGGAATGTGTAATAGTAGAATTTTAATTAATTGAGCGCCAACTGATGAATAGATTGTGAAGATGAGACTTTAATTGCACAGACGACAAATTGACATGATTAAAGACTGACAAACATATGCAGAATTCCTTTCGAGTGAAATCTCTGTGACGAATGTCCAAAGATTAGCTGGTGAGTGGCAGAAAAAGTGCCCACATAAGAAGGCGTTCACTGTACTTTATCACCCTCAAACTATCATTGCGGGGAAAAACACTGCACATTTCCTCTCTGCGAGATTTGCATATCAAATAAAAGATGCTTGTTGTGTTTCAAGTACAAATTCTTCCCCTCAAGAGATATATAAATTCATTTATTACATCGTCAGCCGTTCGCCACATGTGAAAATCCAGTGTGAGGAAATTTATGGTTTCCTCTCGTGTTCAACAATAAAAGAAAAAGAACGGAGAAAAAAATGTTGTGCGTTTCCTTTATTCGCGCTGACCGCAGTTTTCTGTCAAAAGTGCCAAAAATATCAATTTGAATTACATTTTCACTCCCACTCGAACGCCATGGAGAAACGCAATGCCAGAGAAGAAAAAAAAACGTGTTGAGAAATTGAATTAAGAAGAATCGAATTTACTCCTATTCATAGTTGATGATTTTCCAGGGAAAAAGAGTTACTTTGTGGCGTCAAAAATAGATTCTATGAATTCTTCCACGAATTACTCTGCTAAATTTTGGTTTCATTGACAAATTTGTGGCAAAAAATGATCTTTAATTTCAGCTCATTCAAAAATAAACTTTCTTTTATCTAGCTTTTGAGTCACACAATCAATGTTATATTGTGACCAAGGGGCAGATATTATGGTCAGAAGTGGTATACAGCTTTTAAAGAAAGTGCAAAAGCTTCTATTACAACAAATTGAGAGATTTTCTAAATTATTTTGCTCAGAAAAATCAATTTGATCACTTTTTTGAGGTTATGTGATTTATTTAAAATAGATTCGGATGTTAAATAACCCAAAAAATCAACAAAATTGTTTCTAAACTGTAAGAATTTTTCTAGATATTTTCTCGAGACGAAACTAGGAAATCAAGACAGAAATTGTTCTTAAACAATTTAGAAGTTGATTAAATCGATCCTCTTTAATTTTTTGTCTTGAATTGTTTCGGATATTTTTCACTTAACATTTTTTTCATTCTAAATTCACAGCAAAACTCTCTGTTTGTCATGCACATCCATTTTACCTTTCGACTGTCTATCAAAATGATGTTTTTTCTCAGAATCTTTTATGTCTCGAAGGTAGCAAATTGATTAACAATTTAAATGGGATTTTCATGCCTTCGTCTTCACATTAATTCAGATTCGTTTGCTTAAATTGCAATGAAATTGATCTGTTGTCCTTTTGGGCAAAGCAAATTCATCCTTGATTTTCACCGAATTTCACTGATGTCTTTTGCCATTGAGTTGTTTTCTGTGTAAATGTTAAAAATATACACGAGAATAGAAAATTCAAATTTTAATCTTTTAATTTCGTCAGAAATTGTCTCGACTTCCCACGGCGCTTCGCGACTGTCACAAACAAACTTCCTCGTAAATTCCAAACGTGTATTTTCCATTTCCACTCAGGAAGCTTAAAATGAGACTTGTTTTGGCTCCTGAACATCTCACAGCAGGTGAACTCACGATGCCTCGAGTGGGAGGACAATAGGGATTAAGAGGAAATATATTCTTGGCATCAGTCAAGTGAAGTGCAGAAGAATTCCTCCATTTTGCCAGCGCGTCTGTCATCTTCGTCGTCGCGACAGTCACTAAATCCCAAAGCCCATCACGAGAAATTACACACACGACTTGCCAATGAGCTTTTTCTCTCCTTTCTCGATGGCATTTCTCGAAGCTCTCAGGGTCAAGGGACAGATATTACAGTCAGAAGTGGTGTACAGCTTTGTGGAATATTTAGAAATATTTGCAGAACAAAATCATCAAATTTGTGCTTAAGCTGGGATTATTTCTCTTTTCCTCCACAGAATTGAGCATTTTTGATCGAAAAACTAGATACTGATTGAGAAAAAGCTTAAAAGTCAATCATAACCTCAAAATATCAAATTTCAGTCTAGAATAATGTTTCATTGTTTAGTTTAATCTCATTATCTAGTAAAAACATTCAGAGATTCACTATATTTCCTCATTTCCAAGGAAAAATGCATTTAAATACGTTCAGAAGTGTGTGAAGTGTTGAAGATTTCGGCAGAGGAATTGCGGAAGTGTACAGATTTGTGACATATTATCTTCCCCTTGCTCTGGGTAATTCCTATTCGTCCCAAAGTTGCCCGTGTGTGCGCTTAATCCCTCAATTTATCCTGCCAGAGAAAGAGTATCGCAGCACAGAGGCGAAAAGGAGGTCAAATATTAATTATTCTCTTCTCCTTTTTCCCTCAGCTTTTCCACGAAGAGTACAGAAGGAGAAAAAAAAATCACTAAGAGATTATTGACATAATTGGCGATTTTCTCATCGGAAGCCAGAGTCTCGCCTGAAGAAAGGAAGTTGAATACACAATTTAATTGACACCACTAAAAACAAATCACTTAATTGCTGTGGATTAAGACTTCTTTTTCTTTGCCTTTGCGTCTCTGGTGAGCGAAATATCATCTCCCTCGCAATTTCACAATATAAATGAATTCAACTCAGGCACACGAAGATGGCGAACGAGCAAACTTTATGCGCTATAAAGTGTTGTAATTGTTGTAATTTTATTTCTGCACCGTCTGGCATGAGGGTGATTTTCAGTTCTAATTAGGGGGATTTATTGGAAATCAGAGAAATGTCTATAAATTACATTTGATGATGTTCCCAATGAACCCGCACTATCGCTATCGTCATAAATACTGGCGCACACCACCTTATCATTAGCATAAAACTGATAGACTCCGCAACTCTTCCTTATCTCACACCCACTTTGGCCGCCCACGAGTCTTGTGTGCAAAAACAGAGTATATTTCACTGTTAGGCGCAATCCTCCAGCCTCTAATTAAACGCCATCCATCAACACTTTCACGTGCGCGATGAAAAGTTTCTGAAAAGTCCTTCTCGTCACATTGGTGAAATGCAAGGGGGAGATAATACGGTCAGAAGTGGTGTACAATTCAACAGAAGTACTTAAGAAGTGGAAGTGTTGAAAAACCTACAATATTCCTTTTATTTCATTCCGATTCTTTGGATTTCTCTTGATTTTTGAGTCTTTGACGATCTTTTAGTGTTATTTTTGAGGTTATGGTTGGAAAACATGTCCAAAAACAGCGGTTTTTAGTCGATTTTTATAGAAAGTTTGGATGGAAACTTGAGAGATTTGGAATTTTCACTGTGAAAGTGTTCTAGAAGTGGTGTACAGTTCTAAAACACATTATCTCCCACTTGGTCAAATGACGGGGTTGAAAAGCAGAACCTCGCAGAGGAGATCAATTAATATGATTTCTAGCTGACTCCACTCAAATGGGGAACAGTCGAAATGACTCTTGACATCGCCGAGGGCCAAAAATTGAGAATAATTAACCAGGCGCCGCCATTGACATTAATTTGCGCAATTTTGGCCCTTTAATCACTCGCGTTGGTTGGCAGGAATGTTCGTCCTGGAAAATCATAGATCAAAGCACAAGTTTTATCCTCCATCATTTCAATACTGTTCGTATCAAGGGGGAGATATTATTGTAATAAGATAATTTTTCAACAAATTGAGGCACTTTCTGAATAATTTTACTCAGAAAAAGTCATTTTTTGCTCTTTTATGTTATGTGATTTATTGACGACAAATCACAAATTCTGGGAAAAAATCAAATCTCTTTTTATGGTCTGAAAGGCGTTCAGAAGTATCTGAAGTGTTGAAGATTTCGCACAGAGGCTAAGGAAGTGCGTATTATCTCCTCCTTGGTTTGTAATATTTCTTTCTCTACACTTTCGCAGTGTTCCAAAAAGACTCTAAAGGATGAAGAGTCAACAGAAATGCGATTTTCATAAAAATTCCAAACTACATTTCCATGCAATAAAAGCTGTGACGAGTTTGTCCTGTGACCTCTAATCTGACTGCTACTCCACCTCCTTTTTTTACAGATGAGAAGACCATCATCGCGATGATATCGCCAGTGGAAGATAAGCCTGATGACTGGGTGTCATGGTGATAAATCCCTGCGATGTGACAAAACAGAGTGCGATAATTTGTTCGCTAAAATATATTAAATGATCCTTTTTCGCGCGGATTGTGCGCCGTGAGGGATGTTAATTGAGTGCCAGCTGGCGATGGCCAGTCAGCCGTGTGCGTGGCAATCTGTGCGTGCAGATCGCCCGATGATGACCTAAGCAAACAGACGATTGAACTGAGCTTGACCGCGCGAAGACGTCACGCGAATTGTGTTGTGTGTGCGAATTGCAAGTGTGCTGGAAAATTTTCTGGACGCGCGGAGTGAGACTTGAGCATGTTCAGTATGTACGCGCTGGACGCTGGGCGACTGGCAAATGACACCCACAACGTCACGTGGGCGGGAGACGCTCCGCCGTCGCCAACAAGTGGCTTCGCGACGGACAACACCACCGAGCCCTTCTCCCTCAATGCCACCCAGACCGACATTATCAACAACGAACTCGTCCAGGCGACCTTCTGCCTCCTCTACACCATCATCTTCATCCTGGGCGTCGTTGGAAACCTCCTGGTGAGCTGCACAAGTGGCGAAAAGTGAAAAACAAACCATAAACCCTCGCCCAATTTCACCTCATTAACTATCAAGTGTAATTAAGTGAAATTTTTACAGCACAAACAGAGAAACAGAATTATTTTATGCCCCAGACTATCTATCTGTCCATTAACATTTTAGTGCTCACTGAAACGAACATGATGTTTCCAGGGATTTTACGAGAATTTTCCCTATTTTCACAGACTCACGAAGCTCTTTTCACCAAACATTTCTGGTCTTTATTGTTGTGAAACTTCATGTCAAAGGCAAAAAGTTACTAATTATATCCTGTTTAATTCATTATATTCATTATATATGCACTTTGCATCAGCATAAAATTTCCGTCTTTCAGCGAAATTGATAAGGGATTAGCAGAAAAAACATTCACCATTAAGATTTCATAGAGAGAGAGAGTGAGGGAGAGAGAGAGAATGAAAGAAACGTGATGCAGAGCTTTTATCAAGCTGAAAACATGTTCTAGGTTTTTCACTGAATTGCAGTCAATTTCCACGGTTTAAATCTTGTTTCTTGTACTGCCTTTAATGAGCTTAAACGCAGAGCTTCGCAAGACAAGCGTAAAGGCGCTTCGAGTTCGCTTGCACAAAAGTTTATGTTTCATTGAGAAGTTGGAGAATATAATTAACATTGGGGAGTGAATAACACAAGCGCTGTTCGAGTTTTGAGCAAATATATAACTTTTCACAGTTGTTTTGGGGTCTGTTTATCATTGAGAAATAGAAGAAATTTGCCTCAGATAAATTACAAAAATGTCTACACTTGCGAGGAACCGCCCACTTGTTTGCTCCGCCCACTTTCATATGTTCTTGGACAGGAAACATATTTGAGGGAGTTTTATGGTAGCACAGCGTCATGTCATGATAGTTAAAGGCACGAGAAGAGGTCAAATTTCAAATGCACACGTGGTTTTATGCAATGAGACAGTGATACACAGAGGTTTATGTTACATTCACCACATCTCTTGTCACTTGTATAACATTTACCTCAAACACTGCATCTGTCAACTGTTTCTATAATCTCTCCTCAGGTGTGCTATGTGGTATTCAGGAACAAAGCCATGCAGACTGTGACGAATTTCTTCATCACGAATCTCGCTCTGTCGGACATCTTGCTCTGCATCCTCGCCGTGCCCTTCACGCCACTTTACACCTTCCTGCGCCGCTGGGTTTTCGGCGTGGCGCTGTGTCACTTGGTGCCCTTCGCGCAGGGCTGCAGCGTGTACATTTCCACGCTCACGCTCACGGCCGTGGCGATAGATCGCTTCTTCGTGATCATGTATCCCTTCCAGCCGCGCATGAAACTGTCCGTGTGCATCTGGATCATCGTGACGATCTGGATGTTCTCCATTCTGGGTACAATGCCGTACGGGCTCTTCATGCAGATCATCACCGGCAAGGATGACCAGAACGCCGATGTGGCGCTGTGCGAGGAGGATTGGCCCTCGGAGCAGTGGCGGAAGGTGTTCGGAGCCCTGACGTCACTGCTGCAGTTTGCCTTCCCGCTGGTCATCATCACTTACTGCTACATTTGTGTGTCTATCAAGCTCAATGATCGCGCCAAGTCGAAGCCCGGCAGCAAGACCTCGAAGCGCGAGGAGGCGGATCGCGACCGGAAGAAGCGCACCAATCGGATGCTAATCGCCATGGTGGCGGTGTTCGCCATCTCCTGGCTGCCGCTGAACCTTGTGAACATCTTCCACGACTTCTACTCGGTGGAGGAGGAGTGGCAATTCACCACGCTGATCTTCTTCATCTCGCACTGCGTCGCCATGTCCTCCACGTGCTACAATCCCTTCCTGTACGCCTGGCTCAACGAGAACTTCCGCAAGGAGTTCAAGCAACTCATGCCGTGCTTCTTCGGTCCCAACAGCGCCCTCGCGAGCGCCCCCTCGGCCAGCATGGCGGAGGGCAGGAACCGACCCAAGGCGCGCAGCTCCCAGTGCAATGGCGCCAACAGCGAGGCCATGGCGGAGAGTCTGCTGCCGCAGAAGAGCAACACGGCGCCACGTGACGACGGAGATTGCGTCAATATGTCAACCACAGGCACCGTCGCCTCCTCGACCACGGCAGCTTCCTCGTCCACGTCGTCCTCGCCGCCGCCGTACGCGGCCGCCGTGAAGCACCACGATAAGACTTTCCTCCTCCCCAGCGGCGTCCTGGAGACCCACTTCGAGGAGAATCCCATGACAAACAATGCATGAGTGACACCTCAACGCGGTAAGTTTGCTCACAACACCTTTTTTATCGTCCAATGTCGCAACCTCGAGAGTTCACGGTTCTGACGTCACTCGGCGATATGGATTATCAGGGCTTTTCAATGGGTAACCATATTCACCTGAGTGGCTTTGTTCGCACAGTTCTCCGAGACATGAATCCCTTCACGTGTACCAGGATGTTTTGCGAGGAACTTTGGACAGGAGTTCTTGGAAGGCATTGAAAGAGTCGCGGCGATTGCTGGGGCGGAGCTTAACAGTTGCTAATTTTTATTATCACTACATTTCGACTTTAGGGCTTCAATTTCGGTGATTTTGTGTTCATTATTACTATTGCTATTAAAAGCAGAAAAAGTCATCAAATGGATGAAAATTAGGTAGATATTAGTTGATTTTAGTCAGTTTTTAGTTAGTTTTTAGTCGTGAAAAGTCTTGTGGGCTTTTCCATACAGACAAATTTTTCCCATTTTTGTCTTTCTCTTGCAATTTCCAAGCACGTATGTTTGGAAAAAATGTATGGCAATTGAGAGTGAGACTTCAGAATGATATTCAGTTCGATTTCCTGATAAGAGATAAAGATCTCCGGGATATAACAATATATTTCCTCTCTTGGCATAATCTCAGGGAAAAGACAATTTCCCCATAAATACAGTGGAGAGACACTTTGTGTGTTCTAGAGATTGTTCACTCTATCGTCCGTGCCTGAGAGGGTGGGTTTTTCGGGGTGGCTGTCTTAGGTATGGTTTGTGGCACTTTCGGGCGGGGGGAGTATGTAAATACACACACAAAGTGAGAAGACAAATGGCACCATTCGATGGATCATTTGATAGAGAGACTAGAGAGAGAGAGAGAGTGAAGGGGAGAGATTCGGTCGATGGGGTTTGGCGCTGTTTTGTGCGCTTTTTTCCTCCACCAAATGTGCTAACGATGCCCTTCCCAAAAAATTCAGATTTGTGTCTGAGTTTTTCCTTCCACACACACTGAATTGACGTCAGTTAATGGCACAAGTCGTTTTATCGAGAGGCTTCAAATGATGGCACAATTGCAAACTGTTGCTCGCAGAAAATACGATTTGTTGTATCGATGATTGGATGAATCTGTCGAATGGTTTCAATCACCCCGTCGTGAAATGATTCCGATGGCATGTAAACAGAGGCTCACATCCATATGCCTGTGTGTTTGTGTGGATATTATACACATTTTTGTGGTTTCCACGCAAAAATGTCTCCTTGAATTACAAGCGGAGAAACGAGGAAAATATGGTAACGCCGAGTGATGGCAAGACAAGTCCTCCAGAAGCCACAGAGTTGCTCAATTGAATTTGCGAAAATGCCCCTCACAGAGTGGCTCTCAAATTGATTTTTCACAAGGGAAAATGATATTTCTCGGACAGGATATCCTCTGGTGGCCTTCCTCTGGCCATTACACGTCGGGGGCGGATGTGAAAAAAATCATTATTAAACGAGAGAAATGGGATTATTTTGGGCGAAAAGTTGTATAGGTAGGAGGAAAATGGTGGAAAGGAGGAAAACAGCTTTTCATGGAAAAGTATTTGAGATCACACAAACACACACAGAGACGCTCGTGTGGCGGATAAATTGGGGAGAAAGAAGAAAATGTCTCTTAAATTTCACAATATAACGTCAGAAATGATGATACGTGGAAAAAATGTCAGCGTGATGCTGAAAGATTTCATGCAATTCCTCACGATGTGATGTTCTGCTGGGAAAGCTCTTTCTATCTGTGATTCGTCGGCGAAAGCTTCTTTACAAAGCACGCGTGGTGTTGCCTAAAATTCTGTGATTTAATACCCGCCCAGGATTGCCTTCCTTAAGACACTCTGTTGAGTAAATTAGATAAACTGAATAATGAGTACTTGGAAGTTAAAATATTCACCAGACAATCTTCATGGTAGAATCGCTTCTTGCAAAATCTACCTGCTGACTTTTCCACCGTCTTCATCGCCAGTGCGTTGGCATTAGCATAAAAAGGGAGAAGCTTTTAAAGCTACCTGCCAAATATTTGCACAAAACTCCTTAAGAGATAGATCATAAAGGTCCTGCGGAAGAGGATTCGCCAATTAATTGTTTGAGATGAGAGAGGTCAGTGAATGTTTTATGCGATGACTGATGAAATCACATTCCTTGAAAGCTCTCTAGTTGATTTTCTTGGCTTCTGGCATTACAAAAGGGGGAGATAATGTGGTCAGAAGTGGTGTACAGATCATTAGGAGTTTTAGGAAATGAAAGTGTTACAATTAATGCAATATTTGGCTCACAACTTTGATTTTATATTGATTATTTTACTCTCAGAAATAAATTTTTTTTTAATCTTAGTCTTTATTTAGCCAGTTTTAGGCTTTATTTAGTCAAACATAACCGTGTGAAAATGTTATTTTAAAGTTGTCAGTTAGATTTGAGTTAGTTTTCGGTTAGATTTGGGTCATTCGTTGATTTTAGCCTTTCTATGAGCAATCCATGAAGTCCTGGAGAAGATTTTAGCCCTATTATCTTCCCCTTTGGCATTTCATACAACTCAATTGCCAAAATATCAGCACAAGCATTTCCATTCCACTTCCCAATCGTAAGTCACATTGGAAAATAGGAATAAAATATTTATTCAATTTTATTGATTGGGTTTACCTTAGGGTGTTGCCTTACCGCAACTTTTTTACTTCTTCTTTTTGGGGGGAAATTCACCTTAAAGCTCTTGAGATTAAAGAGTTACCACGAATTTCACCATCATTCTTACATATTTCATCGAAGCAAGGGCGAATTGCAGAGTGTTATGGCTTTTCTGACTGCAATCTCTCGACATCTGAATTTATATCATTGCATTGCTGAAAGTGACATGCAATATGTTGTCTCCTCGAAGAAAAGTTCACGTGACGGAAGCTCGTGTCGATCTGGAGAGAGAGAAAGAGAGTCTTTAGATGGGGTTTGTGTTGACAGACTAAACAAGGGGCGTAGAGGAAAAGAAGGGCAAACTAATCATTCTCTGGCGGAAGATTGATTCTGGAAGATATCAAGCCTTGACCTGCAGCACTTTAGCCCCGACAATTCAGCCCTAAAACCCCAAATATGTGTGCGAAGACACGTAGAGGAGGAACGAATGGAGGGCCGTCATTTGTTGGTTCATTTGTGAGTGGCAGAAAAGCGGGAAAATCTATTGGAATAACGACATTCACTTAGATTAGCACATTTCCACCCTCGAGGCATTCTTTGCCACCCCCTCGACTCCCCACCATTGTCGCCACGCATATAAACATTTTAGTGGAGTTGTGACACAATGGGTCTGCTGTTGATTAGTGATTAATAATACAATATCCATTACATTATCCTTCTGCCATGTAACACGGCAAAAGTACACACAGACATTGGGATATTATCTATTTATTCACGAGCGCAATATTCACCCCCTTGAGCCACACACACGCGCGAGAGGGGCGGAAAGTGGTGGCAAAAGTGGCGGCAAACTTTCCTCTCAACTCCAATAAAATTGGGTAGCAAAATACCACTGGCAATTGGGAAACTTTATCAATTGACTCGTGATAGTGAATGGAGGTTTCCCATAATAAATTTTCACCCTCCGAACTTCCCCATTCATTTGTCGTTAACTTGGGCAAAAAGTGCGCCTGCAATTCGCTGAGCACAGATGAAAATCTTCATTTTTACGATCCTCACACACCGACAATCTGTGTGGAAAGTGCTGAGATGCACATATATAGCTAATTCTCCATAAAAACATGCTCACATTAAATTTACTTGAGTGAAATCTTACCTAAAAACGTCTCATGTTCGTTTGTGTGAGTGTTTAAGGAGATTTTCTTTTCACATTAATGCTCGAGTGAATTGTGAAAAAAAGTCACAAATTGTTAAATCAAGCTCACATAGACATAAGCTTGTGCTTTTATAAACTGACAGAAATTCTAGATCGTGTCAAAGCTTAAAATAACACAAAAAAATTGAGAAACTTTGTGAAGCACAATTCAGAGAGTCTTAGAAGTCTTACAGAAAATTCAAGGGGAAAATCACTCGTGATTTAAGACTGTTAATTTTATCCACAAATTGCCGCTAGAGGGCAGCAGTTTAAAAGCATGTAGTATTTGTGATTACATTTGACAAACCAATCTTTACCACAATTTAAACAATGAACTAATTTAGGGTGTTTTAACACATCTAAATAATCAGAAATACAATCGAAACTTCTACATGCATTTCAAAATTGAACAATTGATCAGCTGATGATGAAACGAGGCATTATCCTGACCAGGATCACGCCAGGAAGTCATAAAGTGTGAGAATGCGCGAGAAGATTGAGAAAATTATGCGAATCATGCGATATTAGCGTCCCTCACGCTGAATTTGCTGCCCTCTGGTGGCGATATGGGGAGAAAACAATCAAATACTTAAATATATTTAAATTTCATTAAAATATTCAAAAGATATTTAAATATAATTTGATTTGATTCTATATTTTGACCGAAAATATTCCATTTCTGATTGTTTTGCAAATTTACATGCAAAAATTAGCTTTTTATTTTGATTATTGAATAAAATGTCGCAGAAAATATTTCCACCACTGTTGAAGTGAAGTCAATATAAAGACCGTGAAGTAAACTCAAAATAATTACATACATAATTTGCGAATGTTTTGCAACTTTGTGACATTTTCACCCGATTTTCCTCCCCCAAACTCAACTTTCTCTCATGGCAACCACGTGGAAAAAAGGCCTCAAAGAATGGAAAGTTTTTATCTCGTTTGTCGTAATTTAATTCACAGAGAATCAAGCTATGACAGAGTTTCTGGGTGTGTGTGTGTGGAAATTTTATTTGTCGTCTGTAATGTGTGTCAACGGGACGTCTTTGGAATATAAAAGTTTACCTTCAGCTCACACCCAAAGTGCACTCAATGGAGTTGTTGTGCAACTTTTATTGGTTGCAAATTAGCGTAATTTCACTCCTTGGGGGTGTTTTTATCTCAAGAGCCCACCGTTTTATGTCA